TAAAGTAAAAAAGTTACAGCAAGCTAAGGTTAATTTATTAATGAAGAAAGAAAACATATTCATAAATTCAGCACACCCTTAACGTACAGTGTTTATAAAGTCGACAGCAGGACACGGTAATGTCTCAGGCCTTCACATTCACTCACCATGCACGTGCTGACTCACCCAGAGCAACCTGCAGCCCTAAAAGTTCCATTCGTGGTAAGTACCCTATACAGGTGCACCATTTTTTTATCTTTTATACCATATTTTTACTATACACTTTCTATGTTTAGATACACAAATATTGACTATTGTGTTTCAGTTGCCTACAGTACAGTAACCTACTATAGAGGTTTGTAGCTCAGGAGCAATAGGCTACACCATCCAGCCCAGGCATGTGGCAGGCTGTACCTTCTAGATCTGTGTACATACACTCTGTGATATTCGCACAATGAGGACATCACCTACTGGTGCCCTTCTCAGAGCGTACCCCTGGCGTTAAGCCGTACATGACTACATTTGTTCTTAGCATCTCCCCATGAAATCAATGCTTTGTTGAGGGCAAGGATTTCTTTTGTTTGGGTCTCTGTTACATCTCTAACACCTGGAATAGTCCCTGGCACACAGGAGGTGCTCAATAAGTACTTATTTTACAAAGGAATTACAATTCTGTGCTTAAAAGAGCTCTTTTTTGGAACACATTGAGGAGGGTTAAGGAACGTATCTGGGTCCCAAATGACGGCCACTGGTGGGTGCATCAGTGCATCACCACGATCTAGAGAAGCAAGGTAAGGGTCACAAACATTAATAAAGACTCTGATTCAGGGCCAATATTTGCTTAGCAGCAATTATTCAATGAACTGTTCAATGGATGAGCCCACAGAGTATAATGTCATGGTAAGTAAAAAGTTATGTGAGAATTTGGAAACTATTTTTCCATTTTCCAGAAGATCTTAGGATGCTGTCACGATAATGCCAGTTTACCAGGGACTCTATACTCTTGGATGCTCACAACTTGTGCAATCAGGCTGTACACAGAAATCACCTTTGTCTTACTGGGCCTCATTATAAACTTTTCTTCCTTCTTTGAGCATTAGTGTAAGGCTGAGGTATATCTGGATAAACAAAAGTCTCACTATACAATTCACCTTCTGGTTTTCATTTTCCGTACCCATGCCAACAAGAGAAAAATAAAAGTTTTCAAAATTAAAGATCAGCCCAATTTTGAAACAGCTGCTTTTCCCATTATAGTAAGATATTGTCTGTGTATATTTTAAAGTCTAAATCTAATATGTAAAAATACCTTTAAAGAAATAAGAAACACATTCTGTAATAAAAATCGGGGTGGGGAGGGAAGAAGGGTGCAACGTTTAAGATAGATAGGAGGAATAAGTTTTGAGATCAACTACACAGCAGGATAACTATGTCAATAATAATGTATTGCATGTTTCAAAATAACTAAGAGTAAATTTCAAATGTCTTGCCATAAAAAATAATAGGTAAGCGAGGTGATGGATATGTTAATTAGCTTGATTTAATTATTCCTCATTGGATACATATATCAAAAACATCACATTGCATCCCATAAATGTATATAATTATGATGAGTCAATTAAAAATAATACTAATTAAAAAATAGGAATAAAAAATTTAGGTGAATATTCATTTGAAGACCAGAATTTTAAGGTAGCAATTTCCCATTTTTGGATCAACTACTTTCTTATTTTGTTCTCTGAAGTTACCTACTTGATGAAGAGGATAATAAATTCTGAATAATGTTTTTCAATAAGCCATTTATGTATTGACCTCATTTAACTGAAAGTTTTTAGACGAATTAAAAATGGTTTCTAAACCAAATGCTGTTTCTCAAATCTTATCTTGTTTAAGTAATTCCAGTGTCAGTCCACATTGCTTAATAAAATGAAAATATAACTACATAAGTCAAAATCTCCATATATTTTTAGTCTTTCATATGCATTTAGTACTGAGAAAAATATACTTCTCTTAAGTGGTTTATGTATATCACAAGAGATGGTAGAGAAAAAGAAACCCAAATGTAAGATAGCATCGCTAAATACATTGGCCAGGGCAATAATATTAAGTAAAAGAATTGCTTACATTCAATCTATATTAAAAACACTGACCACTTGTATACCATTAGCTTTTGCTACTGCACTTAGAGTTCTTCTTTGTGATATAAGTGGGTTCTTGATCATATGAAAAACAAAACAACATTTTTTCTAACCAAGAGAATATTTGAAATGGACAAATATACTGATTTTATGTCTCTTTAATGAATTCCTTGGATTCTAACCTTACTTTTTTCAAATTAGAATAATTTCATATTTACAGAAAAGTTGTAAAGATAGTATTGAGAGTTCCTTGTGTGTCCTTTACTCAGTTCCTTCTTATGTTAATATCTTATATATAATCATGATACATTTGTCAAAACCAAGAAATTAACTTGGGACAATACTATTATCTAAAATATAGACTTCATTCTGATTTCACCAGTTTTTCTGTGTATGTCCTTTCTCTATTCTGGCATCTATCCAGGACCCCATGTTGAACATAGAAGCCTTACCTTTTGATCTGTTTCTTCATCCTCATCTTGATAATCATCGCAGAGTGGGCTGGAGTTGGCTGCAAAGGTGGGTCCCTGAGAATAGTACTGAGAACTTCGGTAGCCATCCCGCCGCAATTTATCACATTCTGCGGGGGTACAGGTGGGGAGGGGAGAAGGGGCATTAAAAACCAGAATTTTTACTTTTCTTTACTTAGTCTTTTTAGTAATACCTTCCTAGGCATAATAGGATTAAAAATAATATTAATAATGAAAATGATGATAAAAACAACTAAGAATTATTAAAGCACCTACTATATACCTTAATATACTTTAATGGATTATCTCTAGAGTTCACAACAATCCAATGAGGTAGATACCATCATTAACTCCACTTTACTCACAGGAAATTGAAGCTAAGAGTAAATATTATTTGTTCTATAATGTTACATAAGTAACAGAGGGCTCAGAATACTAACCCAGGGCCTTAATTACTACACTATAATTTTTGACACAAAACAATTGATTATGTTATTCCATATTAAAAAAAAAAAATAGAGGCCAGGTATGGTGACTCATGCCTGTAATACCAGCACTTTGGGAGGCCAAGGCAGGAGGATTGCTTGAGGCCAGGAGCTCGAGATCAACCTGGGCAGCACAGCAAGACCCTGTCTCTAGAGAAAACAGCTGTAGTTACCCAGGAGGCTGAGGCAGGAGGACTGCTTGAGCCCAAAAGTTCAAGGTTACATTAAGCTATGACCACAGCATCACTGCACTCTAGCCCGGGCAACAGAGCGAGACCCAAACAATTTTCGTGCCATGGTTTTTTCCTAGACTCATCAGCTAGAAGTGACACAAGAGACCATGGATTATAATACTCTCATTTTATTTTTAGTTTTCAACTTAATTTTGATGCCAAACAGCCTATAAAAGCTGTGTGAAATTTAATATGAAGCCAGGTGCCAACCCAAGATGTCTGCCAGTCCATAGAAGAATGCCTGGCACAACCAAGTGAAAGGTACCCAGGGGCCATGGTACCCTGGATTGCAGGGGACCAGCGCCATGGGCTGTGTGGAGTTGAATTCTCTTCAAGGAGAACCACTGCACTGAGGACTCTCACCAGTGGGAAACAGTGCTATAAGAAAAGTTCTAATGGCTTTTTAAAGCCAGACACACAAAGGGGCATTTGCCTCGCCAAAGGATTTGCCACAGAGTTCCTTTAAATATCCAGCGTTTTGTGCTTGGTTTTGGAAAAGTTTTCTCTTTGCACAGCTTTACAAAACCATTCACCTAGTTTAGCATAGAACTAAACTAGGGCATCTTCAGAGTTCCTTTCTAACATTAGGATCTATGATTCTTCCTCAAAGAGGAGACAGCTCACTTCAGTGGAGGGATAAAAATATTAGACTAATTTTAAATAAACCAGGGAATAAAAAATCCTCATTCTCCTTTGCTACCTCACAGTGGGAGTAGATACAGAAAGTTTCCAATTCAGATCTGCAAATCAGATAAAAATTATATTCTAGTAGAATGCCAAGCTAACTAAAAAATGCATAGGTAATCATCAAATAGTTAAATGATACCATTTCAGTTACTTACAGGTTAAAAAACTTGTGGTCTGATCTGGCAACTACTTGTAATGTTGATTAAAATAGATTTTTTTTAAATTTCTGAAACTTCCAGAATGTAACACATTTTAAAATGAGAATTTACTCATACTAATCTAACCCTTTATAATGTGAAATATTTTCACATTTTCTCTAACATTTGACAATTTTTCTAAAATAAATAGTACAATCAGAATCTATACTCTCATGCTATAATGTTATAAAAAGTATGATTAGCAGTTTTTAAACTGTTTTCTGCAGAGTTGTGGGATTCTGTAAATATTAGAACTGATTTTCTTTGAACCGGCTACGATAAAAAATGCTCAAGATCAATAGTTTTGCATACCGGATTTTAACACAATGCAGGGAATTAATTCATTAACTTGTGTAGCTAAATCAACTTTCCTGTGGTCCTAGAAATAAAGCTATTCTTGCTATCTCTGTAGAACTGACGTCTCCTAAGGATTAGGGTGAACCTTGTAAAATAAACCAATGTAAACTGTTACCACTTGTAGCTACTTACCTATGTAATTCAGGGTTTTCAAATACTTTACAAATAAAACAAAATACAGATAAGGTGGAGGGTAAGGCCCTTTTAAAGTAAATCCTTTTGTTATTCAAATGGCCTTTTTTGCTTCATTAATTAACCCTGTAAGAAGTTTAAGTTATAAAACTTAACACTATTCAAACATTACTTTTAAAAATCTGTTTTATGGGCTGGGCGCGGTGGCTCACGCCTGTAATCCTAGCACTCTGGGAGGCCGAGGCGGGCCGATCCTTTGAGCTCAGGAGTTCGAGACCAGCCTGAGCAAGAGCGAGACCCCATCTCTACTAAAAATAGAAAGAAATTATCTGGACAACTAAAAATATATAGAAAAAATTAGCCGGGCATGGTGGCTCATGCCTGTAGTCCCGGTTACTCGGGAGGCTGAGGCAGAAGGATTGCTTAAGCCCAGGAGTTTGAGGTTGCTGTGAGCTAGGATGACGCCACAGCACTCTAGCCCAGGCAACAGAGTGAGACTCTGTCTCAAAAAAAGAAAAAAAAAAAATCTGTTTTATGTATTAGATACCATTTAAGATTGTATTTGGAAAAGAGATCTGATCTCCTAGGAAGTAAGACAAATCGGCTAGGTGAGATCGTTTCTAAGGGTGATTATTAGTTTGATATTCTTGGCAATAATATTAAAAATAGCCAACATGACTTGACATCTTTTAAATTTTAAAAGACTAAATATCACAAAATCGGTATCCATGGGTTAAAAAGCATGAAAGGCTGGCAACTGTTATTATTTCCAGTGTATGTCACCTTTTTGAGCCCAGTTAAAAAGACAATGCATCTTTTTTTCACCATGAAGTTTATGTCACAGAAATATGTGAATAGTAATATAACAAATAGTAGTATAACAAACGAAATATGATGCTGCGTCTAAGATTAAACCAGGCAGTATAAACCTATGGCAGACGACCAATTATTTTTTACTCATTTAATTTCTGAAATCTAGTAAACTTATCAAATTCCATTGTCACTTATTCCAACTCTAAAGGAGATCTATGAAAATTTCCTCTTGTCGAGTTGCAACAGATCTCAGTTTCTAGAACCATGGCTTTGTTCACTAAAAACTGAGTTTATTGTCTAGGGAGTGAGACGTAAGTAAGAGCAAGCCATCGTGAATAAACAAAGACTTTTCAAACACTAAACTGAGAGAGAAACTACAAGGCAGAGCATAATTTAAAGCCAGGTTATGCAGCAACTACAGGCTAGAAACAAGATACTAAATGGAATAGAAGAGCTATCTTTAACACATACTCTTTTGCAAAGAAATTCAGAGTAAAACTGGGTTATTGTTCTCATGGTACTGCCTGGATAAAGGTATTACTGTTCGTCGTGTCCTTTGCTTTCCCAATTACAAATTTGCTCCGTCTTCCTTTCATGTCAAACCATTTTCTTTAGCACAAGGACAATGGACAAACATTTCTTGGTAGATCAAAGTTTTAAATATACAAGAAAAAAATAACGTCATAGAGCTAGATGGTCATTTGACCATCACATGAATTTAGTACTGCTTTGGCCTCCAAATCTTTAGGCATTGAGCTATTCTTCCAATGTTCAATTTTTTAATATAGTTTTTCCCCCTTATCCTTGGGGGATACATTCCAAGACTCAGAGTGGATGGATACCTTGAAACCACAGACAGTACTGAACACTATATACACTATGTTTTTTCCTGTACATCCATACCTATGATAAAGTTTGAGGTTAGACAGCAAAACTAGCAGGAGTTTCTTTTTCCTTCATCATTTCATGAATAGAAGATTTGTTCTTACCATAGATATGAGTAACCTCAGCATATGTATTTGTTTTTTTTCTGTCCTTATTAACTCGAGAACTTTCACCTTTTCACTTAAAACAAGCACCTAACTGCTTCTCTTTGGCATATCTAAATGGCCAGCATCACTACTCTTGTCGTTGGTGGCCCTTATTAAGTAAACTAAGGGTGAGTTGAACACAAGCACTGCAATACCGTTACCATCAATCTGGTCACCTGTCTGATCATTGAGAAGACTACTAAACTCACTAGTGGGTGGCCATGGACACAGTGGACAAAGTGATGATTCACACTCCAGGCAGGACGGACCAGGACAATACAAGTTCTCATCACACTACAGAGAATGGTACACAATTTAAAACTTATGAATTGCAGCTGGGCATGGTGGCTCATGCCTTAATCCTAGTACTTTGGGAGGCTGAGGAAGGAGGATCAATTGAGGCCAGGAGTTTGAGACCAGCCTGGGAAACACAGTGAGACCCTATTGCTACAAAAAAATTTTTTGTTAAATTAGCCAGGCGTGGTGGCAACACACCTGCAGTCCCAGCTACTTGGGAGGCTGAGGCAGGAGGATCACTTGAGCCTAGGAGTTTGAGGCTACGGTAAGCTGTGATTGTGTCACTGCACTCCAGCCTGGATGACAGAGCAAGACCTCTCTCTAAAAAAATAAGAAATTAAAATAAAACGTATAAATTGCTTATTTCTGGAATTTTCCATTTAATGTTTTTGGACCGTGGTTAACCACAGGTAACTGAAATTGTGGAAAGTAAAACCTGGGATAAGGAAGGGGATCATTTTAGACTATTTTATACATGTTATCTGTACGAGGAAAAAGCAAGTCACTTAACGATGCTAATAATAAAAGCACATGGGCATTTTTACCACTGATTTGTGTAATTTGTCATAATTGATTTTTTCATATGTATAATTCTGTGAAAGAAAGCATACTATGCAGTGAAAATTCCTGAGTTTATTATACAGATTCTGAAACACAATCTGAGGGGAAATAGCAACCATCTATTCAAGTTAAGAACTAAGTATGATCTGCTTAAATGAGAGGAAGGAGGAGGAGGAGAAGAGACAGAAATTGACTGCAAAGTGGGAATAAAATGAGATTTGCTTTTCCATTCCCCAAGGAAATGACATGGGGAGATGAGTGGATGCTGAAAGAAAAAAAGTGAGAAGTTTGCTGATGCCTTAGATTGTGTGAGAAAG